CCATACATTCTTCAGAAATTAATTTTGGTTTGTTATTAGTGGGCCATTCTATATCGCAGTAAACATATTCTTGATTATTTGCATTAAATACAGTAGTTTCTGATTTTTGTGTGTTTTCGTGAATGACTTCGAATTCGTCCAAGGTATCTCACTTACAGTTGAGTTAATCAAATTATTTTCCGATGTGTAGTCACCTATAATTGGCAAACTTATGAATTTCAACTGATTCTGATACTAGTTTTGATTGGTCCTATCAGTATGACTAATTTTTAATGTCACTAGTTGAGTTTTCTCTTGAATTTAAACTTTCAGTTCCGATCATATTTCTTGCTGTGTTCAAAATATTGACAACGGTTTGGTGTCTACGCCAGCATTTTCCAATTCGTTACTAAGCTGTTTAATAATCTTGATAGCGATACTCAAATGCCTGGTCTTAATTTTGGTGCTTGGAGATTTCAGATTCTTAGTAGCATTATGGTGTTTCTCAAGATTAATCTGTACACATTTTGAATAGTCCAAAGCGTTTGGACTACACGGGTATAATCCACATTTTCTAAAACCGTTGCTGATTGTTACAAATTTTCTTTCTCTAAGACTTTTTTAAGTAATGGACATTTGAACATTGGAATTTGGACATTGGAACGTTGCCTTGTTCAAGACACTGTTGACATTTTCAGGTTGAGTTGCCCATTCGTGCACTGTATTTTTCCACTCTGCCTTCAAAGTTTTAAATACATTTACATCAGCAGGCTGAACCAAATGTGTCGCATTTGGTGGAAGTGCATAAATAATAATACAATTTTTGTAACAATATTCACTGAGGCGCATTGTTAATTGACTCTTACGTCCATCAACAAAAACTAGAATTGGTTTTTGTATGTTTTGTTCTTCCACCCATTTGTTCAAATCTTTAACAATATAATCGAAAAATATATCTGATTTCATCCAACCAGTTTCTGACTTTCCTTTTTGACAACCATCCGGCAGACATACTGTTGATAACATCTTTTGGTGGTCTTACATATGGGAAAACTACACAAGGGGGCAAAATTTTTCCAGCAGCCGATATTACAAGGACAGTAACAGCCTCTTTTTCTGTACCTTTTACAATTTTGTAGACGTTTTTGTATCCTCTGGGTGCAATGACTTTTCCAGTCTTAGGACATATATAAAAACTGATTTCGTCTTTACACCTTTAGCTCGCAAGTAACGATGCAGACATTCATCCTTTTTCTTTCATCGTCCTGAGCGCCGCAAGACCGTGCAGGACCATGCTTTGTGGCATTACTTGGGGGAGGCCTATGTTAGAGTGGGTGAAGGGTTGTGGGGGAGGGCCGCAAGCCCTCTGACCGATAAGCTATAAAATCCAAAAGGCTAACAGCACCAACATCATCCAAACCAGTAGTACACCTTTAGCTGGCTTTACTGATGATGTTACTAAGTATATTGGCATAAGATATTAATGCCTCAACGGAGTTCATCTCAACATCTTTGTTCACATAATGATAAATAATCAATAATACATTACAGCCTTGTAAGTCCACTGCTGCATACTTAATAGTTGATACGCTTGGCAACCAATTTTTTGTTATTTTGAGTTGTTGTCAGGAATAGCCTACTGTCCATCTCCTTTTTCAGGTTCTGTTTCCCTTTTACAACACCCACGGAATTTATTCAAAAACAAAAAAATTATATAACTATTACTGGTATCTCAATTCTTCACAAATTCATTGAAACAGGATACAATAACTTTTGGAGCACAAAATGACAAAATAATCGTTAACACTTTTCCAATATGGCGTAAATGTATGATGTCATATACTGTTCAATGTTTTGTAACGAATCACCAGTATGGCGTCTATTTATGACGTCATTTGCATTGGCCAGTAGGATTCTATTTCGGAACACCCTTATTCGAAATTATATCTCATTATGTAATGAAATATAAGGTGCTTCTAAATTACAATATGCCATGGCTGCAACTGGTGGTTCTACTCATGATACTGAACCACTTTCCCCAAGGAACCCATAGTCAATTCTCAAAAAAATGCACTTTGTATGGAAATCGGTCAACTGATTGGCCAAGTCTCCATACAAACTACCGTGGCATATATTTTAGAAGCATCTTATATAACAACATTAGATACTGTAAAATAAAAGATATTATTTTTACTCGCTCATGGTCAATTATTTATTTATTTATTTAGGAACATTGTAAATGTATACCTTATATTAAATCTGTTCTTATCTTATTATTAATTGTTCCCTTAATCTTAGTTAATTATTTATTAATTTTAGAAATCCCTGCCTAATTAATAATTAGACATACATTACAAAAATGAAATAAACTTTGTTTTCTCCTAGTTAACATCTGGATAGGAGTCCGTAAATTAAATAAAAAAATAACGTTTTTTGATTCAACATTCATTAACCTCAAGTATTTTTATTACAATTAAAGGGTCTTTTTTCAACAATCATATTAAACCAACTTTTCTTATCTCTCTATTCATATTTAAAATTTACTAGAGGCAGGTTATGGTGCAAAAACACCAAAGACTGCCTTATCTGGCAGAAGTTTGTTACGTTTTTTTTTCGTATAGGGTGCTTTGGGGTAACTTCGAAAGGATTTATATGAAGTTAATAGACCATTTGTGTTTTCTATCAAAAGTCAGAATCTGTACATTTTTTTCCTGAAACAAGCACAAGTTTTATGTAGTTTATATATTTTGTGAAGAAAAGCTCATTTCAAAAGTATTCTAACATAGTTGCTAGATATCAAAATTTAATTTTTATTATTAGTTAGATTTTTTGATCCTCAAGTGTAATTTCGAAATACTGTAGGGCAATTTCGAATTACAGTCAAAAATGGTCTTTGTGCGATATGGCTTTAAGGTACATATTCTTTTTTGATTCTAAATTCCCCCAAAGTTTTTTTTCTTTCCTAATGGCCACACAACTTTTGTTACAAATTTTTTAAGAATTTATTTTCGAAATTACCCCATGGCAAGTCAGTGTTTCTCAACATTTTTTTACATTATCGGTAGGTAGGGAAAACAAAACAATAAAAATATTTGAATCAGTTTATTTCTGATTTAGTATGAGATCACATTGAGTTTTTGTCGTAAATCAGCTGCTAATCAAGATATATCAATTATTTTTAAGTATACATCTTCACTTCATATTATTAGACCGTATTAATTATTATCATGGACTATCTTATCTTAATCAGCCTTGAGATTGACATTTTGAAAATACAAAAGGCGTATAATAAATTTATATAATTGTACATCATAAACAGTTAAGAAAACATGAAATAAAACTGGTACCTATAGCAAAAGGTAAAAAACGACTTAACATTAAACATCTGCTCACATTAATACTTATAACTACAAACAAGGACTAAGAAATATTCTTAAACATATGCAAAAAAAAAATAACTTAGAAAATTGAAAATACGAAGTTATAGAAAGACATACTTCGAAATTGTTCGTAATTAAGTAGTTTAAATTAATTAAACAAATCTTTGATTTTTTTTAAGTAATCACAACCTTTTTATAAATGCCAACTCGAATTGGTACCTAATTTTAAATTATTTCGAAAAAAGAAGTATTTTAACTTAGTACGAGATCACATCAGTTGTCATAAACTAGCTGCTAATCAAGTAGGTAACAATTACCTAGTTATTTTTAAGTTTGCACCTTTACATTAGATCACGTCATTTTCATGACTATCTTATCGTAATCAGTCTTGCAAATTTTGAAAATACAAAAGACAAATAATAAATTTTTAGAATTGTACATAACAAACAGTTAAGATATTACATGAAATAAAACTGGTACCTAAAGCAAAAGGTAATAAAAAAACAACTTTACATTGAACACATCACATTTCACATTCACATCAATACTTTTAACTACCAAAAAGGACAAAGAAAATATTCTTAAACAATTGCAAAAAAAAATACAAATTAGAAAGTAGAAAATACCAAATTCTCAAAAGAATATACATCTGGGGTCATATATCTGGGTTTAGGAAATGAAGCGTTAATATACCTAAAATGGTCTGATGCGTTACCTATTAAGTTTATTATTCATAAAGTTATTCATTAAACTTAGTAGTTAGTAGGTAACACATCAGACCATTTTAGGTAAGTATATTAACACTTCATTTCCTAAACCCGGAATATGAAAACGTAACGTAACTCTGTGCTTAAAAATAGTTACAAGGGTTTTTGTTCCTTCGCTCTCTTATGCTACTACAGACTTAAGAAAACTATTTAACATAATTAACTTAAAAATATATGTTGTCGCTCTCATTAACCAATCTATACATTTTATCATTCATTCTTTGCAAATTTATTTTCTTTACTATAGATATATTTGTAACTTCATCATAATCTAATTTTTTAGTTTCTCTGAAACAAAGTTGGGGTGTTTTCATAGTTTTTAAATAAGCGATACAATATAATCTATTTCCGTCTTTTTCTTTTATTCCTTTTATAAATCCAATATAGTATTTCCATGTCTTTCTAACGTAATATCTGACTAACACGGAATCATTTATGCAGTAATTTTCTTGTAGTGTTTCAATTTCTGTGGTATTTGTTAAATTGTTGTTAATATTACTTACTACACTAGAGTCATCATCAGTCTTATTAGTTTCTTTTGAGCCTTGGTTATTTTCTTTTGCTTTACTCTTTTTACCCACACTTTTATTTTTAGTTTTGGTATGAGGATTTCCATTTTCGCATTCTTTAACTTCATTTGAAATTTCTTTATTCTCATATTTTTCCAAAGAATTTAAAGTTTCCATCTCAAAATTTAAATCATCTGGCCAATTTCCTTCTCTGAGTGTTTCATCGTTATAATATTGATCAATGTCTATGTCGTCACTGTAGAGGCTTATAAAATCAGAAATATCAGACGAAGATTCATTCGAATCTATTTTCTTTTTATGTTTTTTCTTACCCTATTTTTTCTGTTTACTCACTTTTTTTATACCTGAAGGTCCCGCATCTGCGAAATCTATGTCTTTTATTGACTTCCTTTTTTTCGGCTTAGCTTTTTGTGACGCTGTTTCGTTACTTTGCTTTTCCATGTCTTCTAATTGTTTAGAAGTTATTATTTCAGCTCATTTAGCAACACGTGTTTTCTTTGTTTGATAATTAATATCCTTCTTATCCTGTTTTATTTTGTCGAGCAGCAATTCTTCAAAATTGACCTTTACATTGGATAAAATGTTAATTTTTGGCTCAGGCTTTACATTTTGCTTGCATTTAGACAATCTGGTAAACTGGAAATATTATTTGCCAAAAAAGACTGCGTCTGATTATCTTTTCTTGAAAGGTCTGATAAGAAGATGACATTTTGAGTATTCGTGTGTGTAACTACTCGTTCCACTTGTTCTTCTAAGTCAGGTGCAAACTGTAAAATTTTATTAGAAACGTCAATACATAAATTTTGCAGGGGTTTCGGATTTTTGAGTGCATTTGTGCGTAGCTTTTCTTTAAATCGTTTGTAGGCAGCTGGTTCAAAAATATCCTGTGTTAATACATCAGGGTTGAACGGATAGATTCCAGTTTTTTTGAAGCAGCTTTTTATTATCTCGGCATTTGTTTCTTGCCACGTGTCTGCAAACGTTTGAGAAAAAACATTTTTAGGCATTTTAAGTCCGACATTATGGCGCTGCCATATAACTAATTTAGCATCCCACTTACACTTAAATGATCTAAAGACCGCCACATCCAATGGTTGTAATAAGTGAGAGGTGTGAGGTGGTAATTTTAAGATTGTGATTCCATGTCGGATAGCCAGTTGTACGACATCTACAGTCACATGAGATGAATGGCCATCGTAAATAATAAAAACGGGGCGTTCTTCACCGAGCGCCGGAAATAATGCTTTTTTCAAGTAATTCACAAATATCGTACCCTCCATCTAACTTTTGCTGCTTGATGAGTAGGTCAACTCAAATTCATAATCTTTTTTTATCAGTCGTCCACTGTTTCCATACATATTGCCCCTTAAATACTATTAAGGGTGCAATTTTTTGGCCAGCGGTATTTGCGGCCGCTAAAACAGTAATATTTTCTTTGCCACTGCCAAATGTTGCTCTTGAACAAGGCTTGTTAACCGCACCTACTACTTTCGTCTTTGAAGGATCTAGACATAGAGAGGTCTCGTCCAAGTTCCAAATTAAATCGGGACGGTCAAACAAATTGAGACCGGCTATTGTATTTCCTAGTAGCTGAAAATACTCATGAATAATAAATGGGTCTGTCATTTTTTTCGAGTATATTCAAGAGGTTGAGGTTTTTTAATTGACAATCGGTGTCTTTTTTTAAAATTAAGAAACCAATCTGGGCCAGGTCTGTTGTTATGAAACGGAGTTTTAAGGTTATTTTTCGCAACATAGTCAGTAACTACATCAAGCGTTTCGTTTCTAGACAGACCAAACCCCCATTTCTCCATAATTCGAAGGCCATTTGCCAATTCTTCTTCTTGTTGAAAAGGGATAGCTTGTGGTCTACCAATGTTTTGGATGTGATTTAGTTTCACTTTATCAAAAAGAGTCGTTGTGGGAATGCTATATTTTTTTGCAGTACCGTAAATTGAAGATATCCCCTGGTTGACTTCTTCCACTGCTTTTTCAACATCTTCTTGGGAATATTTTTGCACTTTCTTTTTTATATATTTTCGAGGCATCACTCTGAAAAATTAAATTAAATACTTAGTATGTAAATGATACTTCACACTTGAATTTCAGTAGGTAGGTATATTCCACAGACATAATTTCAAAATTTTTTGCATTATCTGTTTAATATGATGAACTGATATCGAAATACTAATTTAAAAAATAAATTGACTTCAAAAGAGTAGTTTTATTACTTTACCACAAATTGTCTACCTACTTAGTAGAAAACCTTAATTCAAAATTTTTTGCTATGTATTATTTTTGGGCTAAAATAGTATTGTGATATTTTTAATATTAATTTTTTACTTTTGTAAAGTTTTAGCAAAAATTTATTAAATGCTAAATTGTTAAAGCAGTTTGTTGACAAGCAGTTTGGCACATTCACTACGTCCCGGTCACTTAACTAGCCAACTTTCGATTACATGTATAAGAAAATATCTTGAATTTACTTACCAGTCTCTTCATCAAATAAAACTTTAGTAGGTAGGTATTAACTCCTACAAACAAACAAAATAAAAAATTATTTTCATTTAACTGTTAATTTTTGATTTCACAAAATTATTGCACCTAACATCAGCTTTCATAATAATTAAACTCTTACAAAAAAGTACAAAAATTGTTTAATTGTGATTCTATTACATTTTTATTATAGCGCAATAAAGTACTTATAAAAAATATTAGTTTAAGAACCACTGGTCAAAAGCATAATCTTTCGAAATTTACCTATGGGGCAATTTTGTAAGTATTTTTAAAACTGTAGCTATAATGATAAAGATAATCTAAAAATGCGTCAAAAACGTCAATCCATTGATAAAAAAGACAATCAATCGTTTAACTTACCAAATCACTTAATAAAATGATGTGGGGTAACTTCGAAAATCCACGAAAACGCACTTTTTTTATAAAATGTCACACACAACACACGTACCTGCTGAGAGCGAACAGAGTGAACTGAAACCCGGGATGTGATCAGGAATAGATCAACATGGCGTCTAAGTCAGTGCTGCCAGGAAACAATATAACTTTCTGTTTTGTAGTAATGTTTGATTTTTGAAATTACCCCAGATTCGAGGTTACCCCAAAGCACCCTATGTTTCCTGCCTCCGAAAAAAGTCGCTCAGAATATACAGAGCTTCCGGGACACGATAAGTATATTCGAGCCAAACATATTAGGAACAACTCATATTAGGGAACTTGTGTTTATTCTTAGCCCACCAGCCATATGGACATAGGTCTTTGAGTAGCAGAACTTCACTTAGATATCTGTCTAGCTCTGACGCAATCGGACTTTTGGTTTCTTCTACATCTATCGGTAACTTTACTGCTACTAGTTCCTCGTAGCAGCTCCAGAACGTTCTGTGTGTGTTTTCACAATTGGATAATGACATGGATCTCTGTGATACCTGAACAACTTCTTCATCACTGCTTGACCCAATATCCTCGCTTCTTCTTACAAATTCCGCCAGGAAAGTTCGTCTGATCATTGGTATATGTCTGGTGTAAAAAAAATCATTTTGTAGCGTGTATCTAGCATTGTTGCTAGACTATAGTACTTGTCATCTTCAATCCCCTGACAACGTCTATCCAGTCCTTTTAGTGACGAAGTGACGAGTGTTTATATTAGAACAAGCCACTTTAACTTCTTCTTTGATCAAATACTTCGAAAGAATCGTCAAGTTAGGAATGACCTCTGATATACAGGAGTAGGAAGAGCTCATTTTTTTTTGTGATTTCTTCGAAAGGTTGAAGTTAGGGTTTGGGTCCCGGGACGTCTCGTGACTCGATGTCCCGGGACTTTTCGTAATTTTAGTTGTCTCGAGTCCCGGGACTTTCGGGTCGAGACTCGAGACGAGACAAGATTGTCGAAAATGATATGTAATCATCATTTTTATTTTCAAATATTTGAAGGAGCCTAGCGCCATCTGTTAGTTAAATTACAAAAGGAGTTTCAGTTGTTTCAAGCAAACGGAAAACGTACAGAAAGTTTGGAACTACTGTATAAATCCTTAAACACAATCAAACCGACATCTGTTGAAAACGAGGGTGTGTGTTCTCCTTGTCCGGTAGCATTATTACAAAAATCAGAAACAAATTGTCGAACAAAGCTGCTGACGCTCCGATTTTTTAAAAGCCTATTTTATTAAACAAGCAAAGAAGTCTCATCAATGTGTTAAGTTGATTATTTGAAAGTCTGATTTATAAGTCTGTTTTATTATTTTTATTTAGATTATTTAATTATGAAACAAATCTGAATTAACAATGTTGTTATAATGACCAATGAAAGATTCTAGAATTACTAGATAATTGTAAAGTTATGTAAAGAATTAGTATGATTTTTAACTAGGTTTATTTTAAAACTATACGATTTAACTGCTTAAAAGTGAATCTGTCTGATTAAAAGAAACGAACAATGCAGTTATTAAGACTGAAATAACGTTAAAGTTATTAAGATAAATTATATTTTTCTTAATAACATTAATAAATGTTGATTTTTACAAAAATTGCCTTTTTCAATACGTTTCACCAGAAATTTACTGAATTAAAATTCTTCAAAAAAAGGCTCACTTCCCTTAAAAATTTTTTTTAAGTCGAAATCCCGGGAATTCCCGGGGCTTTGGTAGTAGACTGTCTCGTGTCCCGGGACTTAAAAATTGTCGGGAATTCCCAAACCCTAGTTGAAGTAAAGCAAGACATTCTTTCAGAAAATTCCATTGTCTCTGTCAAATTTTGAAAATTTATTGTGTTACTGTTGTCAGATATGTACAACGAAATCGCTCTCTTTTGCTCCAGTAACCTTTCAACCATATAAAAAGTGCTAGCAGCGGATGCTGACGTCTTGAATAAGTTTGTGCTTGGGTACATTGAGCTCAGTCTGTATCAGCTGCAATTTTTCTTGAGCCGGTTGTGAGTGATTTAAATGAGTCACGATACGACGCCCTGCCGCTATTGCTTCATTAACCCTTTCCTGCGCGTCTAAAGCACCGTGAATGGCTCGTTGCTAAGTATGAATGAAGCACGTTTTTCCTTCAAAACGACTGTCATTTACGGCTTCCACAATGTTGCGGCCGTTATCAGTGACGATAACATGTATTTTGTCTGGCTATTTCTTCTAGAGCACACTGGATATTATACGCTGTATGCTGCTCTGAAAACGATTTCATTTTCAGCATCCCATTTTACAGTACAAAATTGTTGTCAAGCCAGTGAACAGTAAAACTTAAAAAACACAGCATTTATTGATGCACGTCCACATGTCGCTTGTAACTGAAATCGTTTTAGTTTCGGATAGTTGGTTGAAAATCTTCTTTTTTTAATTGTTCGTACATTTCAACTATCACTGTTTCAGTAATGTATTTTCGACTGGCCATCTGGTATTTTGGTTTTAATATGGCTGGCAACCGATTAAATCCGGCATCTTCTACAACAGATGTAGGTTGATTATCCACACATATCATTTCTGCTATAGCTTTGTGAATTTGTTTATCCCTTGGATCATCTATTTTCCACTTACTTTCAAATGTGCCCTCAATGGTGACGTAATGACTCCGCTGCGGGCAACTCTTCAGTAGTATTCGACGATGAAGGTTTTACTGAAGGAAGGATTGGATTTGGCGAATGAATGGGATGTTGTAATTGGGTGTATTCTCGATCAATCTTCACACGAAGGTGGTTGGTCAGTGCAGAAGTAGACGCTGAACGTCCACCAACATATTTCACTTTATTTGGTTGATCAGTTTCTGTATAAAATGTCCAAACACTTGATTTTTTTCCTTGCACTCATTTTTGGAATAAGCCAGTAACAAAACTTACAAAAACCTCGTCAATCCACTTAAAACAATTATTTTTGTTGATTACAATCGCACGCGACACGCGCCGATGTCATGACTTATTTGATAATGACCAGCCGGCTGGGTTGAAGTAAATACGTAAACAAGTCAAGACGCGTCGCTCTCGAGAAAGCGCGCGAAAATGAACCGAAGTTCGGCCGAACATTTCATTTGAACTAATAGAGGTTAGTATAGCTCATAGCGCCATATTATAGCGCGCTATCTCTCCATAACACATAGCGCGTGCTATTTAAGTAGCCGCCATGGCTCTATTGAGTATTAATATCTAGCGGCAACTAGTTCTAGCAGCAGCGTTGTTGGGAGAGAACGTGTGACGCAAATTTGATCTAGTAGCACGCTATTCATCGCGCGTGACCTAATTTAGTGTTAGACGTTGTTTAGTTAGTGTATACCGTATATTTATGTGATCGAAGGACACAGTTTTCTGCTATAAAAGAAGCCTAACTCGTGTTTTTAAATGTAAATAAAATATAGATACAAAAGTGTATATAACAGTGTATGTAAATAGTTGATTTTTATAAATACAATCAATAAACTTTTAAATACACCTTTATTTGATTTATAATTTATATTACGATTAAAATAACGTTTACATCAATTATAATAAAAAATAATAAATTTTATTTCGTTTTAAAAAGTACTTACATGCCTTAAAAATATTTTTAGGATTATAGAAAGTCGTAAGCCTGAAAAGTATGAAAGAGCGTTCATTGGTTTTTCTTTACCGCTTTATTTTATTTTAGTCTAAAGTGCGACTTTATACGAAATAATAATAGCACGCGGTCTGTCCAATAAACGACATGTAATATAACGTACTACGAGATATAGCGTACTGCAAAACTTACGCGCTTGCCGGCCTTCTACACGCTTTCTTATAAATAGCGCGCTATAACATAGCGTATTAAATAGCGCGTTAGAAATTTATAGTTTATAGTCTGTAGCGTGCTATTGATTTATAGTCGTTTTGAACAACTTTAATTTGAACCGAATGTTCGGCCAAAGTTCGGATTCGTTTCAAATCACATTCGGCCCATCTCATATATACATATTTTAATATGTAAAAATTGATGATGATAAATAGAAATTACAAAATGTTTGTAAATAACTTTTTTGAGCTTAATACATAAAATTGTAAAGGCTGTTTATTTATATTTTGTTTAATTCAATAATGAACCAAGTGTTAAATTCAATTAAGTTCAAATTTTAAGGAATAAATAAACAGTAACTTAAAAGGAACTTGTATTTTTACTTTCACTATAATATTGTATACTGTACTAAAAGGATATGTTGCCATCAACCCACATGAACCAACAGGATTTAAAACGGTTGGATTGCTAAGTGTTGAAATAACATCATATTTAGGGGTTCATAAATGCTTAGGCAAGACTACAAGGAGAATATTACATACATACAGAAAAACAAGTCTTCCTGAATATACTATTATTATACTAGAATAGCATGGTTTTTTGGTATCAGTTGTCTGTACACATATTGCATCTCTGCTGAAGCTCCTCTAGCTTCAATCAACTATTTCTTGATGTTGACCTCCTGTTAAATATCTTCTAACCTTTCGTTTTAAGTGGTTTTATAAAAGCTCAACTAGGCTCTACAGTCAGCCGGTATGTACAAGTTTTGGAGATTTTATTGGAGAATAAAATAAATGAGCAAGTTTGAACGAATTTTACTAATTCTTCTAAATAAAATATCACTGTTTACTTATAAAATTATATTTCCCTTGTTACAGTTAAAACTATCTACTTAATTTACAATATTCTTAAAATAACAAAATTAACCAAAATAAACATTCAACAAAAATGTAAACAAACGATATTTTTTATTTTCATTAAATATTTTAAAAAGTAAAAATGTTATATTACAAAAACAAATTAATTTAGCTAATTTAAATATCCAAGACACTAATTTCTTCCATGAGATGTTATAATTGTATAATAAAATCTATTCCATGCCTAGTATTCTCATATAAGTATTTTTTTTTGTAATTATATAGTTGCCTTAAGGTTTTCTAGAGAGCTCCCACAGTTGGCTGCAACAAGTGTGAAACATTTGGTTTTGTTAAACTGTCCACAAAATGTTGCAAATCTACGTCCAGAAATTAATTAAATAAGATATTGGTTATTGGTGCGCCAAAAATAAAGATTGTTATAACAATCTTAAATAATGGCCAAGTATTTTACTATATAACAAAAACATACAATTAAACAAAAAAATGCATTTTATATAATATTACCATCACACACAAAAATGTTGTTTTCAGCGGTGTCCAGATGTAAATGTTACACTTCCAAGTTTTAGAAACTCTTTTCTATAATTGCCTTATTAGAAGCCTTTGTATAAATTTTCCCCACTTCAGTATTAGATTAAGTAGAAAGAATGCTTAATGTGTAAACTTTGGTCACATACTATGACAATTTTTTGAAGTCTTTCTTCAGTAGTAATATTCATCTTTGTAGTCTGTTTCATGAAAGGAGTTCCACGGAATATGTGCGAACTAACATTTAATGTGATGTGATGACACCAGATGTCAAACTTCGCAAAGACTGTGGTGCCGTGGCTAAGGGACTTCTTTCATGAAACAGACTATATTAATGTGTTAAATTGATAAAAAACAGTCAGTC